CAGCAGGAGAGGTTCAAAATGCAGAGCCTCTGGTTCGCATAAACATTCACACTGCATCTGCTCCAGGAGAAAAGCGGGTATCACTCCTATTTCCAAGTAAACAGTGGTGTCTCTCCCTCCACAGTAGGGGAGACCTGGAGAAGGTTTTACCTTACCACAAAAGTTTAACCCAGGCTGGAATCAGGTAGCTTCCCACCCCGTCTCCCCTTCTTGAACCTCCTTTCTTCCCTCCATTTTCACGCTTTCTGAGCTAGAACTGTCACCACCAGCATCATCCCAAAGGGTGATCGATATAGTGCCCACCTGTGGCTCTTTGATGAGTCATCTGAGGAATCATTTGGTAGCTCCTAGCAAAGCAGCTGGCTGTTTGTTTTCAGAGTGTTTTTTTCCCCAGCAATTGTAAACAATCCCTTCCCTACTTAGCATGAGAAGTCTGCCAACTTCTTAAAAGCAGTTGGCCTTCTGAGACCTGGGTTTGTAGTCTCGAATATCCCCACTGTTTTCAGTCTTGGTGATGTTTCGCTGTGATGTCAGGTTTGGGCTGAGTGCCTGCCTACTCAGGTGAAGTTGAATGCCTCCCCTGTTAGGAGCAAACAAGGCAGGCCCTTTTGTTTGTTTTTTGTTGTTGTTGTTGTTGTTTTCCTTACGCAGGCCTCTCACTGTTGTGGCCTCTCCCGTTGCGGAGCACAGGCTCCGGACGCGCAGGCTCAGCGGCCATGACTCACGGGCCCAGCCGCTCCACAGCATGTGGGATCTTCCCGGACTGGGGCACGAACCCGAGTCCCCTGCATCGGCAGGCGGACTCTCAACCACTGCGCCACCAGGGAAGCCCAAGGCAGGCCCTTTTGAAAGGGAGGGAGCGGGTGGATGTAAAACAGAGGCCTGCAGGGGCCTCATGCACTTACTCTGATTCCACCTACCATTCTGTGAGCTGCCTGAACAGGAGAGAGGGATGAGCATACACTTGGTGTATTGCAGCCTGGGGACAATGTTTTTGTGTTGACCACAGTTTGTCTGCCTAGTGTACTTTCTCTGGACTCTGCTGGCCATTCTCTCTGTGGTCCAGGGCCCTGTCCTCCTCCAGCAGCAGAATGTTACAAAACCCCATCACAGCTAAGTGCCCTGAACTGAGATCATGGGAGGATTTCAGATAAGCTTCAAGCAGGGTCCCTTGTGAAAAAGTTGAAGCTACATAAGCTGGAAGAGGAATGGCAAGTGTTACATTTGAGGACAGAGCTCGGCATGAATTGGAGTGATCCAAGAATGCTTCAAGGAAGTGATGGTTGAGCCACCTCGTGTGCAGTCTTCCTCACCAACAACCCCCAACCCCGCCCCAGCCCACCTCCAGGATGAGTAATCGAAGCTCCCTGAGCCTGGGCCACTCTTCTGCAAGCCTGCAGTTGAAAACTCCAATGTTGCTTTCCAGTACAGCTAAGGCTGAACCGGGAAGCAGGAAGTTTACTTCAGTGCCTTGGATGAGTTAGTGAATAAGCAAATAATAGTTAAGATTTTATGAGTGCTTACTGTGTGCAAGGCACTGTTCTAAGAGCTACATACACTAGACTGTTTGTTTTGCCAGAACAATCCGGTTACTAGCCATGTGAGCTTGACAAATTGGGTATGTATTGGAGCAAATTAGCATAGAAACTCATTGGCCTTAATCTACAACTAAGCCCTTTGGGGTAGGCCACAGCTTTCTTAAATGGCCTGTTATTACAAATGAAATGAGAAATAGGGCTTTTTTTTTTCCCTTCCCTCCCTTTATCTCTGCTGCCACATGGGCCTATTTTGAAATCTTTCACTTTTTCTAAAGTTGTCTTTAAGTATCTTTGTATGTGTGTGATGACAGTACAGGGCTGGACCGAGGTCTTTTTTCTTATTCTAGGCCTGTGCCTATAAAAATCAAGATTAGTAAGAACTGACTATAATATAGCAACTTTCTGGTTATTATTGAATTTAATGAAGAAAGCAGCCTCTTTAAATGGTTTTGCTTATTTGAAAAAAAAACAAAACAATGTCGTGGTTCCTAAATGGTGGTGGCTTTTCTTGTTCAAAATTTCAGTTGTAATTTTCCATTGGCTTTGCATTTCCTTGAAATGGACATAACTGAACTCTCAAAATAGCCTCTAACTGAAATATATTATTGCTTAAAAGAAAACATATAAGCAGGCAACACAAATAAACCCTATAGCCCTTCCTTCCAGGCCCTACCTCTGAAGTCCAAAACCTATTGTCTAAGTGAAAAGTGCAGGGTTTCTCTTTGGTTAAAGCTTTTCTACATTCTCCAGTGGGAGAGTATCATCAATTATGTCAAATTCTTCTTAAACTAGCTTTGGAAATGAGTCACTTGGGCTTAAAGCAGGTTATTGTTGTTTCTGTGAGGAAAGCAAGTGCTCAAATTCCTTTGAGGAGTGTTTTCAATTAGAAAAGAATAAGATGAAATATAAATATTTAACATTGCTAAGGAATGGTCACAATCTATGGCCCAGGCTCCGAAAATGTCCTGCTAAACCTTAAATGTGTAATTGAGAATAAGGCAGCTTCATTTTATGGTTCTCTCTGTGTGGAACTCAGGCTGTAGGCTTTTGTTCATGGTGCATGTGCGAGTTTCCTTTAAAAATAAGGCTTCATGTGGTATTTTTACACAAAATGGCCTAACTTTGTTTTCTAAAGCTGTTCTCAGCTTTGGTATATCATGGACCAATCAAGTGACTTTCCTTCCATCTTTCTCCCTTCTCCTCAGCATTGATTGACCTGCTGACCTTGGTGCAAGTCAACTGACTGGTCGGTGGTTTTCTACTTCTATAGCTGTGCAAGCAGACAGACACACACTCACATGTGACACAAAGCTGGACCCAAAACATTCACCCTGGGCTCACTTAAGAAAGTGCCTCTAAGAGAGCGCATTTCCACAGTAATCGCTCTGAAACCTAAAAATATCCTGTTTCCCTCAATGAAAAGGAGAAGGCTAATGATATTAGGAAACTCAGTAAATGGTATTAAGCATGGCCTTCTGAGGGAAGATTAACAAGTGACTGATTATCTATCAAGCCTATCCCTATGGGTCCAGAAACACTGAGTATATTGTTGGTAATGTCACGTGTAAGCATGTTAGTAAGATACTTATTGTACTTATTGAAGTGCTACTGGAGAGACCATTGTAGCAAGAGGATACTGGAAATTGTTTCAACCCCTCTTTTCTCTTTTATATAATATCCATACAGTGGAGAAGTGCAGGTGTACCTCATCTTATCCAACAGATGTAGGTCCAAAAAAGATATAAATTAAATCATATTTTAAATTCAGCAGAAGAACTCCGAAAATTAAAGGCCTCTAATATATGGCTGATGTAAGGGGAAACAAACCCTAATTGATGTTTTACTGGTTGGCATTATAAATCCTGCCTGGCGCATGCAGACCCCACGGGGGTTGGGGGGATCGGGGAACCTATCTTCTCATTGTACCTCAGTATTTCTCCTGCATTCCTTCTGTGGAAGCTCTTCAGAGATTTACTCTGAAATCCCATTGCATAATAGAATAGAACTCAGTCAGCCCCCCAAATGACAGCTCAGCTCAGCTTACTGAAGGAAATATGCCCCTGACCCAAGTTGAACCTACACATCTTTAGTGACCTGTGAATTGGCCAGTTCTGTCTTTTCAGCTCTTATAAATGTATGAGTTGTAAATACAGCTTGTTTCATTTAGGACTCAAGGTCTTCACCTCACAGCATGATGCCTAGTGTTAGTCAAGGAATTATATAAAACCTAAACAACTAGTACTATACACTAAGCATCTCCTAGAAATGCAGTCTGTAAGTCAGATTTTTGTAAATGTTTTACAGACACAAGGGGAGCATGCTAGTTAAAAGCAGCTTGGGTTCACTTTAAATAGGTGAATTGTATGGTATGTGAATTATATCTCCATAAAGCGGTTTTTTTAAAAAAGCAGCTTGGGGTGGATGTTTTTGCAAAATGAAAGTATTGTGTATTATAGTGATACCAGTAACCATTCCTCTCCCTCCCTCCCTCCCCATCCATTCATCATTTTTGCTTAAAATAATGTTGTTGTACCCTGCATGGCTCCTAAAGAGTACAGGGCTGTGTGTCAAATACAATGGCAGACACTGTTGGGAATTCAAAAGAAGCAGAAGCCCCCGTCCCTGCCTTCCACAGAGATGTGACACTATTTCATCCCCGAAGAGGGAAGACTGGGCCCATAAAGACTTCTTTTGAGTGATTATTTTATTGTTTTGTTTGAGGAGCATGTATGTTTGTGTTTTATAACACAGTAAGCTATTTATAGAAACAGCTCATGTTCAAGTATAGCTGTTACAGCTCATCCCCTCTTGTCTGTTATTCCTAGTTACTGCAGCAAGGAAGTATACAATAAGGAGAATCTTTTCAACAGCCTGAACTATGATGTTGCAGCCAAGAAGAGAAAGAAGGACATGCTGAATAGCAAAACCAAAACTCAATGTAAGCCGTTTGTTGTGAACTTGAGAAGAAAGCTGTTTGAAGATCATTATGATTGGGTTTTGGCAGGGGAACAAATCACACCTCACATGTTTGGCATCCGCTTTCAAGTTGACTGTGTCATTCACAGAGGTTACCCGGATCTTTGCACTCAGAAACCTGGCTGTGCATTTTATGAGTGAGATTAATGTATTCTTTACAGTCGTGTTTATAAGCTAGTTGCTAGTTGGGTGTTTTTTCCCTGCTTGCCACTTACATTTGACATAGTTAGTTTAGTTATTATTCAGTGGTATGGTCAGCTGAACCAGTTCCAGTGTGTGCTTTCGTTTAGAACTGTGTTTTGAGGCTCTGAACATAGATTTCTTTCTCCCTCTTCCCTTGTATAAATACTAGTAATATTTCTAGATGCTGGATGTAAGTATGAACAGAGAGTATAAAGTTCTATTAATAAGCAGGAATTACAGATCTTTAGTTTATTCATCTGTACTGCATGGTTTCTTCATATTATCTGTTTTATTTCTACTTTTTATGGCCTTGTTTAACTTGTAAGCTTGGCATTTAACACAAACTCGTACTTGGGTATTCGCTTTTTTTCTTTACTTTGGAGCTCTGGTATACTCAATCTGAGTATCAGAGACCTGAAGTGCTTCCGACAAAGTAAATTACAGCTCCAGTATTTATACACTGCAGAAGTTAGGCATTTGCCTCCCCTTAGATTGTCAGTAGAGTCTGCACGTTTTTGTCAAAACTTTTTTTACACTTTGGATTAAATGAAAACAAAACAAGTTTAAAATCTTGGGCATGTTACAAATTTTAAAGATGTGGGGTTTTGGGTTGTTTTTGTTTTGTCTTTGTAGATTTCCACCAAGAAAAATGGATCTATGTTCACAAAGGAAGCACTAAAGAGGTGAGCGCCCATCTATTTATGAAGGAGTGTGCTTAGCCTTACGCCTCCCCTGACAGGGTAGGGGCAAGGCTGGGAAACCACTTCACATCACGACTGTCTTCTTGGATGTGGGTGGTGGAGGCTGCAGCCCACTACTTAGCCAGCCATCAAAGTTTGGGGCTACAGAGAGAGATGCAAAAGTCACTAGGTGGGCTCCCCAATCATTCAGTGAGATGATGTACGTAGAAATGCTTTATAAAGATTAATATTCCCATCTCAAACACACTGTTATAAAGCTCTAGCCTTTCCCTCGGAACAGTGCCTCCCTTTTGTTCTAAGATCTCTTTTAGACTTCAACTCAATTCATTTTAGCCCTGGAAGGGTTAGTCACGAAATACAGGAGAAGTTTTCGTGCCCACCCAGTGTGAGGCTGCACGAGCTAGATGCAGAAGAGAACAAGACACTGTAATATCTAAATTTGCACGGCACTTTGTAAAACCCTTTTATGTACATTTTCCCGCTGCACAGGCATTTGCTCAGATAACTAGGATACAGACAGTATGACAGATTGATAGAATTTCTATTGCTGTCAGGGACCTTGGAGAACATCTAGTTCGCTCTGTGACTTGAGGCCCTCAGAGGGCCCGGGATACACCCGAGACCACCCAGGTACTGGAAGCAGAGGTGGGACTGTAAGTCAGGGCTCTCTACCCCCAGTGCCTTGTGTGTTCACAGAGAAAAGACCAAAACTTCTTTGGCTTCTTCATGAAGCCTTAAAAAAAGCTTCTGATGATCACAGAGAGAAAAGCACCAGAGATGTGGCAGGCAGAGTTGACACACGTGGGGCTAATTCTTCCCCCAGGAGTATGTTAACAGTGACCAACACACATCACAAACCCAGCTCCCAACCTTTCCTTGACAGGCAAGTACAAGTGCGTGCAGAGAACAAGGGCCCAAATGGTACACGTCACGACTTTAGTCACTGACTGAAGCAGCTGCCGGCTGTACTACCCATCTTTGTGGCTCATGGTGGGGCAGGGCACCAGGGGCCCAGGGGCCCAGAAAGGGCTGATCATGGAACAGGAAAGCAGCAGATGGCCATAGGTTACCTGGCACAGCCACCAAGCTTGTCAGCAGAGCCCAGGCAGATTTTTCTGGAAAATGACCTCTGCACCCCCTGTTTTCACATTCAGCGCCATGGATATTGCACTTTGGGGGAAGCCTTCAACAGACTGGACTTCTCGACTGCCATTCTGGATTCCAGAAGATTTAACTACGTCGTACGGGTAAGTCTCTGTAGATTATCCAGACTCCCAAGTTGAATTGTCTTTTCGGGTTGTCTTGAAGTAGATCCCCCCCCCCCACCAACCAAAAAAAACAAAAACGAAAACAACTTTTTAGGACCCTGCGGATTTTAAGGAAAGCAGAAAACGGATTCCTCAACTCCCCCATCCCCCGATGTACTTCAGGTTCCTATATGGATACTGAGATCCACATAGGATGGATTCATCCATATGGATGTCCCTGAGATTGGCCCCCTCACACAGGGGCCGCCGTAATACCTCACGTGAGCCACAGTGCGGGCAGCACAGGCTCTGGTAGTAAGATCAGCAAGAGAGCATTCAGCAGAAAGCAAGTTGTAAAGCACCTTGGCTTGTTTTAAAACTTTGTGCACCTATGATTGTTCTCACTGTCCTTCTTGCCCGGCTTTAGCTGACTCTAGGTGACCCTAAGGCATTCTTGGTTTAAGCCTCAAAACTGGGTGAGTTCAAAGCACCCCAGAAGGTCTTCCCCCGACTCCTTTCCCCCACCCCCATGTGGTAACAATATTCAGTCCCAGGTTCACTTAAAGCTTGAAACTACCTGTTTGGCTCAGTTGCTTCCCATTTTAAACCCTATGTTGGAAAAAAATAATTTTTTAATGAGCTTTAGCAAAATATTAATGATGAAGGTAGTAAAGCAAGGAAGTCTAACCATGACCTTCAAGTCACTGATTCTTTTTAGTTGGTTGGTGGTTGTTTTTCCCCCTAAGCTCCCTTGTATGTTTTTGTCAGTGGTTCCACCTGAGGGGGTAGCAGCTGTTTGGGTTTAGGATCAGAAGTAGGAGGGAATTTACCCGCTGTGGGTGTTAGTTGGTTGGGTTTTTATTTTCTTTTTCCTGGGTTGTGCTTCTCAGTGCCGGTGTCATTGAGTCAGATGATTGCAAAGGCTCAGCCAGAGCGATGACATTCAAGCCCCCTTGAGGCCTGGATCATTCACCTGTCATCTGGGCAGATGCAGGGCTGGCCGTCCTAACTGACCTGATAAAAAACCCAGGCCTCTTGTAGGTTAGAAGCTCTGAGCAGAGCCCATGACCAGACCTGTCTAGTCTTCAGCTGAGCCCTTATTCCAGTCCAAAAGGGATGAAAATAAGAGACCTTCTTGATGAAATGTTCATGTCATTTCATCAAGACTCTGCCGCTTCTGGGAGGTCACTGTGGCCGGCAACCCAGTGCAGGCTGCTTGGAGTCAAGCCCGGGAAGATCTGGAAACTTGTTGCTAAGACTATGAATAGTTTCCATCCTCTAGGTGTTAGAGGAAGACACCCAGATCTGATGTCTTGATTCCAAACTGATCAGCATTTGGTCAGTTTTAAGACGGTTCTCCTTCCTACCTGTTCTCCTTCTCACAAGAAATAAAGCAAAGGAACAAGGATTCAAATAGTGAAAATCTGTTTCATGCAATTATGTGCACTAACACCTTTTAGCCTTCCATTAACCCTGTAAAGTGTAGGTACTTTTATCATCGCTGTTTACATAAACAGAGGTACAGTGAGGTAAAAGTGACCTGTCCAAGGTCACAAAGCTACAGAAGGGAAGAAATCCAGATCTGAAACCTGGGCAATCTAAAGTCCACACACTTTAGCTGCTACAGTGAGTTCCATATAAGCAGAGGATTGAAAGTAAAATGGCCTGAGGTCAGATCCCAGCTTCACGGCTTTCACGCGGTTTCGCTGTTCCAGCCTCTCCAACACTCACGTTCCCGGGTGTAAGAAGGACTTACAATAACCTCACTTCACAGGGTATCTGTGAAACTCAGTAACATATATGGAAATACTCTGCAGACCAGAATATGTTATTCAAAGTCAGCTACTAATACTTATTATTACCTACTTATCAAAATTATTGTTTAGCCTCCCTGAAAAGTCTTTTCAATTTGGTTGATAAAAAATGTTTTTCTACTTAAAAAAAAGAAAAATTACCTGGGGAATCATGCCCTTTGCCCTTGATTAAAACTCAGCATAGAGGACTTGTGTCTGACAGTATCTGATTATAAAATACATCCTGAGCACATTCTCCTAACCTTTAAGTTAAACTACTGAATGCTTTCAGTTATTAGGTTCAGAAAGAGGGGAGAATATTTCCATTTTGGAAAGAACAATCTTTTTTTCCCCTTCACTGTTAAGGGTCCTCTGTAATTTGAGAAATGTCATTTTTATAAAGAGCTTAAAACATTTTAATGATAGGCACCACGTTTTGAGGGTTTTCTTCTAAGGAACTTAAGACACTTCTCAAATATTCTTCTTATCCTTAAACCAACTTTGCAAAGTAGCTTTGCCAGTATGTTATCCTCATCTTACTACTTCAGCCTAATGGTTTTTTAATACTACAGTGATTCCTCAGTCCCAGTAAGAAACCGAACCAACTTTGAAGCCTTAAAATCTGTTTAACCTCTTTAAAGACAAAGTACACTTTTTAAAAAGGTGTCATGTTCATGCTAGCTGTCGATGTTAATAAAAGAGACATGTAGAGGGAATAAAAGGGATAGCCAACACTCCTATCTCAATGTTATGATGTTTTATCAGCATGAAAATTTTGTGGAACTTTTGGAATCGAAATTTGAATATAAATTGGAGAGGTTTTTATACAGCATTTGTAACTTTTTTTAATTGGCTTCAGGCTACACTCATTGCCTCTACCTGCTTCTCTACACACTTCCAATGGCTTAAACATAGTTTTAACTGGGTTTTAAAGATGATTTTAAATCTTTATAAGCAGTAACTTATGAAAGGCCATTTTTAAAAAATGGGTTTACACCTGCCTCAAGACCAGCACATTTTGGAAAGTCCCCTGGGGAGCCAGCGAGGATTCCAGGGGCTGGGCCAGTGGTGGGGTTAGAACCGTAACCACAAGAAAGCAAGTACTGACTAACCCACCCAGGGCACAGAGAGGCCAGCGGAGAGAGTGGGTCTCCAGTAAACACATCAGAATCACATCTGCACATTAGAATCACCTGTGAAGCTTACTCCTCTAAGGAAGCCCACCTCTAGAGCAACCGAGTTCATTAGTTGAAGGTGGTACCCAGGCACTGCTACTTAAATTTATCCACCAGGTGATCCCAGTGTGTTTTCAAGTTTATGAACCAGCTCAGAAACTACTTGGAAGCCCAAATGTTATAGTTTGCATAATGAGTTTTTAAACAAGACACACCCGAGGCACAAGTGCAAGAGAGGGCTTTAACTCTTTAGTGCCAGAATGCTCTTTGATCTGGTCCTCCCAGCTCTCTCTATGGGATGAGAATGTGGCCAAGTACACGGTAACTGTAGATGCTGTCTTCAGACCAGGAAGAACCTTGAAGAGCGGTTTCCTGACCTGAATGAAGTGACCCCTGTGTGCATCAGATCAGGAAGGACAAACAGAAGTTTGCAACCTCACTCTCTGTCCCTCTGCAGCAAAGAAGAACATCCACAACCTAAACCAGTAGTGCACATTTTTATTTTTTTCTGCATTACCACCCTAAGTCCATTTGAATGTTTCCAGCAAGTTACTGCATTCCTACCACCCCTAAAAGTCTTTTCCAAAAACATGTTTTAGTTTAAGTTGACTGGTGGTTTGGCAAATGAAAGGCTGAAATATGGCACGATGACTCAAATTCAAACCCAATGCCTTAAATTAAGGGCGTGCTGTTGCCAAGCCCCTGGTGGGTTGTGATGTGTATGGGCAGCCTGGCCCCTTCAACCAGGTCCCTCTGCTGCAGTGACCTTGGATTAATTTGGTGCTGCACAGCCTTCCTCTGATGGAAGGCGGCCCCTGCCATCTCCGTCTCAAAACTGGTGGGTATCTTTTTCCATTGAGACAAAGAAGCTGCGGGGGAGGGAAGGCGGCCAGCCATTCTAATGGCAACAAAATCAAAAGAACAGGGCGCAAGCCCATTTGAAAGTGATTGGCAGAAATGGCTGGGAATTGTGAGAATTCACTGTGGGGTATTAACAGTGAGGACCCTGAGCAGGTCCTTAAAATGAATGCTGATTAGGCTGCTAATGATTTTACCGAAGAAACACTGCAGCTCTTGGAATTCCGAGCCTTCTCAGTCACACTAAGCCTTTAGGCAAGCAGCAGATCCTGCAATTTCTGGGTGCCCACAGAAGTGGGGGACACTCACAGACCTTGAGGGTACGACCACAGGATTGGGGGAGTGCATGCAGAAGTAGGGGGCACCCAAAAAAACGGAGGAAGCCTGAGAGACCAGAATAGTGGTATTTTCGACCATGGACACCTGACAGTACATTAATAATTTAAGCATGTATTCTCAATTTATGTATATTCATAAATTCATTTGTAAATCATATGCCTATAAAAGGTGCTAATAATGGTACCTACCCCATCGTGTTGCTATAGAATTAAACTGAGTTTAGGGCTTCCCTGGTGGTGCAGTGGTTGGGAGTCCGCCTGCCGATGCAGGGGACACGGGTTCGTGCCCCGGTCCAGGAGGATCCCACATGCCGCGGAGCGGCTGGGCCCGTGAGCCATGGCCGCTGAGCCTGCGAGTCCGGAGCCTGTGCTCCGCACCGGGAGAGGCCGCAGCAGTGAGAGGCCTGCGTACCGCAAAAAAAAAAAAAAAAACAAAAAAAACTGAGTTTAAACACATGAAATGCTTTTAGACAGTGCCTGGTATATGGTGAGCATCAGTTGTTGCTGTAACTATTGTCATCTTTAGGGTTCTAATTACAGGAATTAGAAAATATATGAAAATAGAAATTAAAGATGAAATAAAATATAGAGATTGATTATTTTATGACTTTTCTACCTGATTTTCTTTCCCATCTGACTTTGGAGACCAGAAGATCAAAAATGTGCCCATTTTGTATAAAATTTTTTCTTGAGGATTCAGAATTTAAATATATCCCACCATGAGCCCAGAAATATATTTTATACTAAAATTCTAGCTAGTTTCTAGGCTAAGTCAGGTGCTTATTATACAGGGGATAGGCTAAATTGGATAGGTGAGCTGCGTGTTAACTGCCAAT